AGCCCGAGGCCGGTGCGGGCGCGGAGGGGCAGCGGCGGGGCGCCGGCGACCAGCCCGAGACGCGCTCCGTGTGCAGCAGCCGCAGCAGCAGCAGCGGCAGCGGCGAAAGGCGCGCCGGACACCAGCACCAGCACCATCAGCCCATCTGCAAGATCTGCTTCCAGGGCGCCGAGCAGGTGAGGCCCGCGGGACCCGGGGCGAGGGGCGGCAGCCGGCCGGCGGGCCGCGCGGATCTGCCCGCCCGGGAGCTGGGGCGGAGATTTCAGGACCGCGGACAGCGCAGCGCCTCCCGTTCCTCTCCGGGAGATTTGCGGTCCCGCCTCCTGAAACGCAGACCCGGTGTGTTCCCCTTCTCTCACCACTAAGCCAGGGACAACGTCCAAGTGGCGAATATAGGACTAATTTGCACTTTTTCCTCCCTACCTGGATTTGCAGTTAATGTTCTTAAGGTGCGTGAATTCTAACTGTAAACCCCTAAGTATCTCTTGTGAATTACTCCAGGGGTCTTGGTTCACGCTTAGAAACCAACGTAGGATATAAATTGAAGTCCTTTTTCGGTTAGTGCATCCTCAGAAGGGTAATCTGAGAATAAAACCTGGAGGTAGGTCACAATTTAAAAAAAGCAAGGTCCTTTCTTATTGCAAATTATGGTGATCAGATCTCAGGGATGCGGTACTACTTGTGCTACCTTTCTTACAAAAGAAACGGAAAGTATGTTGGAAATAAAGCTGTTTAGCCAACCACGTACTTTACTGTGTTCGAAGCAGAATTCTAAAAGTATAAACACCGCCAGAGGGACATGCAAACTAATATGACAGTAATCATGCAGAAGAAAGACTAATATTATCGCTTACTGAATGTGTGGTCTGAGAAAACATTAGGTTCAATATTTTTAAAAGTAAGGAAATTGCATAAGAATATGTAGGCTTTCAGGAATATAGTGCCCTCAGTCAATATTTATGATGCTACATTTAGACAAAATAAAAGCGTAATGCTATTGCAAGCTGCTTTCTGGAATGCCATGCACTTCTTCTTTAGCAATGATTAAGAATAACTGCAGAGGAAATGCATCTGACCATCCACTTAAAAGTTATTACAGAGATTTAATAGTGCAGCTTTCCCCCAAGGGTATTGGGAGCTATATCTTGCAGACATTTTGTATGTTGGGAGAACATTTATGTCATAACTCTAAGCAATATCTTTGAAATAGTTTTAAGATGTTAGTTTGATTCCCATCAGAGGTATAAAATTTTAATTTGATTTTCTGGGATAGAGCTTGATGGTTGAATCCTTCTGGATAAATGGCTTGAAAGAAAAGAAAGCAGGCCCTGCATTTCTAAAGAGAGGGCGGATCTTCACGCGGAGGTGTTCTCTCTCCAGGGTGAACTGTTAAACCCCTGCCGGTGTGATGGGTCTGTTCGGTACACACATCAGCTGTGCCTCTTAAAGTGGATTAGTGAGCGTGGCTCTTGGACCTGCGAGCTCTGCTGCTACAGATACCACGTCATAGCCATTAAAATGAAGCAGCCTTGCCAGGTAACCGCGCACCTTTGTTTTGTGAACGTGCATGCACTTGAATGCAGCTGTGACTCAGGACGTTTGCTTATGCTATTCCAAAACATTTGAGGCTGATTATATTAAAACCAAGATTTAGAATTTGTAGTGATTGCGCTTCAAGAAAGCCATGATGTTTTATCTGAGAAACTCAAGTTTGAATCAAAAGTTTTCCTTAATAACTTATTTACTGATGCACCTGTACCCGGTTTTGTGTTTAAAGGAGCAAGTTGCTAAAAGGCTATATACCACATTCAAATCTATTTTGTTAATTAGGAATGTTACCAATTTGTTTTAATAATGTTTTGAGCTCTATGTATGGAAAACAGATGTAGATAAAGTCATTTAGAAAATTTAGTTGAACCTGTTAGTTAAGATCTAATTTTTCTCAATTCAACCACCGCCTCTTCCCCTTTTGAGAAAGGATTTTACTTTATAGTTCAGGCTGGCCTTGAACTCACTACGTAGCCCAGGTTGGCCTCAAACTCATGATGATATTCATGCTTCAGTCTCTGAATGCTGGCATCTTAGGGTGAGCCACCCCCCTGGCTTAGCTTTCTTTTTCATATGAGGTTTTTTTTTCCATTGTTACATTTTGGCTACTTTCCTATTTTGCTGTATCCAACCTTAGAGTGGACACAGCGCCAACAGCCACTTTTAGCATTACTATTAAAATTGTATGTATTGATAAACTTTTGTGTAAAGCCACACAATACACTAAGCCACAAACCCACAAATGTCCTGAAAAATCAGCTTGATTCCTCTTAATTTCTCTTGGGAATTGATTCAGGAGTTTTGCATAGGCTGGTAGAACATAAAGTGGGAAGTGTGGCATCTTTTAAAAAAGTAGAATTATGTGTAATCCAGAAAAACTGTTAGCAAGATGGGGCCAAAACTAAGGAGGCATAAAAGAAAAGGTTCAGAACACTGGGACAAAGGCTACAAGGAAGGAAAAGGAAGAGGGGATTGAAGAGTCAAGGAATAACATAGATCAAAACTGGGGTTCCTTATTTCTGTCTATATTACCAGATTTAGTTTGTATTAAGTAATAGAACATATAAAATCATAACGCTTGCAGGAAGAACCTGGAAGCTGATTTATTTATTACATTAATAATTTAGATTTCATAGTTTTAAATTTATGCATCCTTCCTATGGTTTGCAGCTAATTATCATTTTTGATAATTACCATTTAAAGCATAATTAGCAAGCGTGAAATGAAAATATGAAATTCTTCAAGCTAACCTTAGGCCTATGAATTATTTGGAAATAGGATGCATAACTAATGTGGACGAGTGATCTCATCATGCCAAAGATAGATGCCAACATGACACATTGTCCCAGAACCCCTAAATGATGGAACTGTTCAAGTATCAGCTTATGATCCTCCATAACTATCTTGAAACACAGATGGAAGCATAGCCCGAGCTCAGGATGTGGTTAATGTAACTGTGCCAATCACAATTTTATGAATAGAATATATGTGAAGGTAGAAGAAGGGAGAGTTTTGTTGCTCCAGCAAAGAGTCTAATGAGACAGTCAGCTCAAAAGCTGAAACAAAGCATTTTGAAAGCTCTAACTGTGGATATATGTTATATTAATTATATTAATCTGGATATAATATATATTAGTTCAGTGAATATGACTAATTTTGAAGTAAGTAGAGATAGACCTTTGATAAACACTCGAAAATGAAAAGAAAACCTTGGCCAAAATAGTACTTGCTAATTGTAATTCCATAAAAGAAGAATTGGCTATTACTATCTTTTGGCCCATTAGAAATTCAATAGTTAAACAAAAGCAGTTCTTCAAACTGTGTGTAACAGGATCCTCATCCTCCACCCACAAAAGAACCGAAATCTACAAACTAACCTGACATTACTGACACTCATAGGTTTCATTTTGTTGTGACGTGTAAGTGCCATGATCTGTAACTCGGTCTGACTTTTTCAGAGAGCTGTGAAAATGGTATCTAGAAACAAGCCTCATTTGAATGTGATGACAGCTGACATTACTGCGAGATGCTTTGGCTGCCCGTGGCTCCCCACTATTGATAGGGCATGCACTCCCGATGGGCAGAAATCACTGGCAGAGTTTCCAGAGAATGGGTTCTTCTCCTTCACAGGAATGTGTTCTGAAATGAAGGCCGGTTCCTTGAGCACCGCTTCTGGATGACCGACAGCCTCCGCCCGGCTCTGAGCTTTAGCTTCCTCCTGTGCTGGAGTGTGGCCAGCTGAAGTTAGTATTTACTATGTTCCTATTTCTGCAGCATGGTCGAGGTTGACTTCCACATGGTGCAGAATCAAGCAGCGTATTTATAGCCCTCTCTTCCCTTTCCGTGCTCCAAGTGTGCTCCTAAGGATAGAGCCACTCCTGAGCTGCAAGCAGGTGGCCCCTTGCATGTGGAACAGAATGCAAAATAACTAGTATGAGGAGAGGGCTCTGAGTGAGCTTTCACTCTGTGCCAGGCACTAAGTGCTGTACATCTATGGATACCAATATTTAATCTTCATAACAAATCAGTGGGGTGAGAAATATTTTCTCTATTTTACACAAAGGAAAACTGAAGCACTGCAAAGTTCAGCTGCTTCTATGAAGTAGAAGTTTGTGGCACGACACAAAGCCAGGACACAGACAGTGCACCTGGCCCAGGCTCCAGGGTCTCAGCCTTTGTGTCAGAGCGCATCCTTCTCATTACTTTCTTGCTATTTTGGTGTTTCTGGTTCTGTCCTGACTTGTTAGGTAAGAAGTTGTTTTGGCCTGGATCTCTAAGCGAGTTTGGAAAGCGAGTGTTTGCCACATAACAACCCACCTCAGTGCTTAGTGGTTTAAACACCAACTGCCGCTTAGTGCCCGGGAGTCTGTGTGCTGGCTGAGGTCATCTGGGAGGTTCTTTCCACCTGTGGTATCACCTGGCGCCTCAATCCAGGGTGGCGCCTTCCTTTGTCCTATTCTTGGGGCTGCTGTACTGCCTTATTTCTTCAGCATGTGGGTGGAGGCCGCAGACCCTTTCGGGCCCAACCTTGGGAGGAGCATGGTCTCAGGGCTGATGTAATTTTGTGAGAACAAATCACAGGAACCATTCTGATTCACAAGAAGGGGAAATAGATACCACCTCTGACCCTTCTTTCAAAGGGGTCACCCATCTTTCACTCATTGTAGGAGAGAACTTCTGAGACGGCTCTGCATACTTGCGCTGGTCTCTATTTTGCCCTTATCTGGTCCAGATGGATGAGCACCCATCCACATAGCTTCTCTCCTTGGGCTCAGAACCAAAGGAAACTTTTACAAAGTATGGAAGACAGAGTCAAGCAATAATTAATGCCTGCTGCATGTCCAGAAGCACTTTCAAAAGTGTTTTTCCCATGGTGTCCCTTGGTGCTCACTGGGGGTGGGGGCCGGCATGGGGGGTGGCGCCAAGGGAAGGAGCCAGGAAGCAGGAGTCAGTGTGGGAAACACTCTGCCTAGTCTTGCACCTTAGCTTGACTTGTTTTTCTTGAGGAGATTAGAATGGTTTGAGAATTGGGGCCCAGGGCTTCCCATCTCATTGGGTTTCAGTGATGCACACCAGTATGACGTGGGAGAAGGCAGCAGACATACCCTCTGTGACATATTTAAATCTTAATTGCCACATCATTAGCAGTGAGAGTTAACATGTGAGGCAGTTAAAATGCGTTCACCTTCCCACCTACTTGTGGAATACATTGTATTAATTAACATATCTGAGATGTATATTAATGATGTCTTAAATGTGAGAATCTGTTTGGAACCTCACAGCACAGAACACTCTGAAGTTAGTGCATGAAGGAGAATGTGGGATCGAATTTACTTTGAAATATTGGTGACATTATAGCTTCATTAAGCTGTGCTTCAGTTCATGAGTACAGCACTTTCAGTATTTTTCTAAGATCTATGGATCTTTTTTTTTTTAATTTTTTATTTATTTATGTGTGTGTGTGTGTGTGTGGCCAGCTCAGCCCACCAGGGGGCGGGGCTGGCTGGCATGTGGTGCTGGGGGATTGAACCGCGGTCCCTGTGCTTTGCTAAGCTTGTTCTAAGTAGGTGCTTTAGACCACTGAGCCATCTCACCAGCCCCAGATCTATGGATCTTTGAGGAAATAACATGTATTAAATGGATATTGTATGGGAAATGTTAAATTTGTTATAAAAATCAGACTGTACTGCCCTCAAGTAGAAAGAAGGATGCACTTGGAAAGAGCAGCAAGCTACTCCGTGTGTGGATGAGCTATTCCACACGTGGATGAGCTACTCCGTAGGTGGATGAGCTAATCTGTACGTGGATGAGCTACTTAAGCTCTGTGCCTCACTCTCATATCTTTAAAAAAGACCAGGATAATGGTACTGCCCATTGTTTTGTGGATTTGATACATAACTATACGTGAAGCGCTTGGATCAGCGCCTGGCATAGAGTGTGGGCCGCACTGCTTCAGGTCCGAAGCACGATGCCCTGCGCAGTCTGCGAAGAGCGAAGGACTTCCAGCTGCCTCCCGCCCTGCTCAGAGGTCATCCAATTTCCTTGGAACTCTCATCCTTAATGCAAAGTTAATGAGTCCTCTTTTCTATGTCGTTCCTTCTCAGGTTTAATTTTAATTGACAAAAATAATAATGATACAGTTTTAGGGTCCAAGATGCTTCAGCACACACTTCCATTATGGAATGATTAAATCAGGCCAGATAGCTTATTTATTACCTCAAGAATCTGCCTTTTCTTAGTGGTTAGAGCAGCTCTTTTAACCATCTTGAAGTCTACAAACTGTTACTAACTGTAGTCATCATGTTGGCTAACAGCGCGAGAACCTAGTCCTCCTGGCTACCTAAGCTTTGTTCTGATTGGCCGGCGGCTTCTCTTTCCTGCCCCTTACCCCCACCCTGTCCTCCTACCCTCTCCATAGTGGATTCGACTTTGGGTAGACTTCACGTGGTGAGACCATGTGCCTGAGTCTGGCTGCGTGGGTTATCCTC